CCTCTTCCAGTCCTTCGACTCTTGCCTCCTGTCTCAGCAAACACTCGCTGGGCGACCGTAGACACCACTCTCCCCCGGGGCGGCGGTCCGGACGGACAATCCCCAATCTTCGTCGAAAAGGGGAAGCGCGTGGCGTACTTCGTCAGCCTGATGCATCGCCGGAAGGACATTTGGGGCCCAGACGCAAACGAGTTCCGTCCAGAAAGATGGGAAGAGAACGCAAAGCGGGGGTGGGAATACCTACCTTTCAACGGGGGACCACGTATCTGTTTGGGACGTAAGTAACCCTACACCCTCCAGAGTACATAACACTCAGGACACATGGATGTTTCTAACTGATTGCTGCGGCTGCTTCCAGAACAATACGCCCTCACAGAAGCGAGCTACGTACTCGTCCGCCTGCTGCAAAGGTTCGACACGCTGGAGAACGCGCAGCCGGAGATGGTCGAGCCGGTGATCAAGTTCAATCTGACCATCTCGCATGACGAGGGTGTTCGGATTCGGCTGTATAATTCGAAGGAGGTTGAGTCGGGTAGTCATGGGTAATGATCATACAGGACAGAAAGTACTCACGAGATCGATACGATGCGATATGATGTGATAAATAATATGGAATGAGGGAAGACGGGAATCTGAACGACCTGAACATAACCCGTGAACAGACACGCATTTTGTGATTTTTTTTTTCTTTGCAGGCACATACCTTACATCCAAGTCATAATTCTAGAACCTGTACCTAGGATATCCTATATATAGTTAATCCCCACACAACTTTTCTCCTACTCCCCCTTACTCTTAATATTATTTTTTTTTAAAAAAAAAAGAAAAGAAAAAAAAAAGTTCGCTACTCCGTAGGGTAGGCTAGGACAATCCCTGGCTAACCAGGTTATCTAGACCAGAATTCTGACAGCTAGGTCCAATTTCGTAGGATTTGCTTGCTAGCTGACTGACTTGTAGAGTCGACAGACTTGGAGAGTTCAGTTATATACAGATATACCTACGTACATACATACTGTAGATGCACAGGTACTATTCATCCATGCAGCTATGTTGTGTTGTGTTCAGTTAGTTCAGTCAGTCAGTTCAGTTCAGTTCACTCAGCCCAGTATGTTCAGTCAGTTTTGTCATGTTCGACTCAATTCGAGTTGACTTGACAGACCATATCGACTAATTGTGTTGACTGACTCAGCTGACTATATACGGCCATACTTACATACACACCTGCATACATTAACCAGGGCAAGTGAAAAAAAAAGGAAAAGAAAAGAATAGGATAGACTAGACTAGAATAGAGTAGAAGAAATAGAATAGAATAGGATAGAATAGAATAGTCCAAGAAGAAACCAGGCGGTCAGTTAGTAAGTCAGTCAGTCAGCTAGCCAGTCAGCTAGCCAGTCAGGCAGTTTAACTATAGGCGAAGGTAGGGAGGGTACAGTACAGTACATACATACAAGGGGATTAGATTAAAAACACTCACTCACTCACTCACTCAATTAATCACACAATCGAATCCCATTATTATCAACAACATCAATAAGAACAAGGGTGACAAGAACGACAACAATTCTCCATCCATGACAATGACACGACACGACACGCCACGGAATGTTGTTATTGCTTGCTTAGTTAAGGTAGGTATGTATGAATCTGAATCTGATCTGATCTGAATCTTCACTGAATCTGAACTTAACTATCCAAAATTCTGTCCTGTTTTGTCCTTTTCTGTCCTGTCTGTTCTGTTCTGTTCTGTCCTCTCGCTAATTACCGGCCTGCATACATAGATAGATATGATATATTGACACGAAACGAAGCGAAACGAAGCAAAATGAAATGACCTGAACTGAACTGAAACGGAACAAAACGAAACGAAATGACAGGCCTATGCTCTGATTACAACCAGTAGATAACAGGGATAACAGGGACCGGAGAGAAGAAGAAAAAAGAAAAATGACAAGAACGAAACGAGTATGTATTCCAAGACAAGAAGAAAGAGACGACGGACGACGGACGACGGACGACGGATGACAGATGACAGACGACAGACGACAGACAGATGACAAACAAACGTTCTAGGATCGCTGAATACAGCCATCACTGGGAACAAAAGAAAAACACGACGCTAGAAGAGATTCGCTGCGTGGAGGGAAATGAGAAAGACATCACGTGTAAGGAAATGGTCATGTGACATGACATGCAGCTGCAACTGCAACTGCAACCTGTACCACCACCAATCTGTCAAGAACTTTCACCAACTAGCGAGATTGGCCGCTATTCTCAACTTAAAATCCAAATGGGTTTGTGGGAGCTGGTTGTAACAGCGTTAGTATTCTCAAGAAACCGAAGATTGGTAGCAAGTTATCAAACTTACTAGCTTGCGCAAGGTTGGCCCGAAGACCCGTAGGCTGAGGCGTGAGTTTCTTCTGCTCCTGCGTCTTAACACCGAACCGGACATTCGGAGGAGGCCCTGTCTTCTGAGGCTGTAGAGGCGCCGCTGTCGGCTGCTGTGGAATCGGCGGCGGTGCCGGAGGAGCGCTCATATTTGTATTTCCAAAGCCATTGACTCCCGTTCGCTGCGGTTGCAACGGCGGCGGAAGCACAGAGTTGATGCCGGTCTGCATCGGCTGCTGTGGTGGTGCTGAGAAGCCCCCAAACCCAGTTGGCTGTGGTGCCAAAGTCTGGAACTGCTGCTGCGGCTGTGGTTGCGATTGCGGCGGCTGCTGCTGCTGGAAACCAAACTGCGAGCCGGGCTGCTGCCCAAAGCCCGTCGGTTGCGGCATCAACCCGTTTTGTTGGAACTGAGGTGCGAATCCCGTTGGTTGAGGCTGTAGCGGCGGCTGCTGCTGCTGCTGCTGATTGAACTGTGCCTGCTGGAATCGCTGCTGGCTGAGCTCTGCCAGGCTTTGGCCCGGTGGAGCAACCTGCGGCGCATTCTGAGGAATGCCCGTGAGTTGTGGTTGCAATGGCGGTGGAGCAAAGGAGCTCTGCTGGTACTCCTGCGGAGCCGAGAGCGGCCGCTGAGGCGGAGGAGGGAGGAGGGAGCTCTGGTTGATATTCTGCGGAGGCTGCGGCCGCTGTCTCGAGGGCATCTGCTGCTGCTGCTGCTGCTGCTGGATCCGGTGGGCTGAGGCACCCAATCCCTGCATAGGAGCAGTACCTGGAGCACTCGTCTGCTGTCCCACGAGGCCCCAACTGAAGCGAAAAAGCTCGGGTTGGCGCCTGTCAGCTGCGGCTGCTGCGGTTGAGGAGGTGCGGCTGCGGTGGTCGTCTGTGTTTGCGGTGCTGAGGCTGGCTGAGTCGTTTGAGCGGGCTGGTTGGGTTGCGCAGGAGTTGGCTTCAGAGGTTCTTGGAGGAGAGAGAGGTCGGCCATGGCTCCGGTCAGTGTATCTTGCTTCGGCGGTTCCGTCGTAGCAGGCGTTGTTGTCGTCGGCGTCGAGGCGGCAGACGTTGCAGACTGCTTTGGCGGCTTGACCTCCCAAGCATCGTCGTCGAATCCCTTCTGCACGGGCTTCTCATCGGACGCCTGTTTCTCTGTACCCGTCTTGGAATCATCCTTCTGCTGGAAGGCCTTCGGATCGACCGTGTCTGGAGCCTGAACACCCGGAGTAGGTCTGCGAGTGTTGTTCCGCAGGGCACCGCCAGGCCCAGAGAACAGGCCGCCTTGGCCGCCTTCGCCGTTGCCGATAACCTCTTCACCAGCAAAACTGACATTTCTCCCTCGGCCTTTCGAACCAGTCCGGCCAAACATGTTGTCGAGGTAGCGCATGACGCGCAAGATATCGCCTTCCTTCAGACCCAGAGTGCGCAGATTGTCGGGGGTGATATCCGGCAACACGGATTCGTCCATGGAGTCCTTGGTGAAATTCTGAGCATATCGCTCACATTGATATGGGTCGACTCCCGCCTTGAGAAAGAAGTCAAACCAGTCGTATTCGGGCTTCTTTTGCTGCGCACCAACTTTGTTCGCGTCGGGCCTTTTGGCATCGTGCTTGTTTGCGTCGGGTCCTCGGCTGCGGCGCCGGATATCGGATAAGGGCTTGTCCTCATCCAAGGACTGGCCCGTGACTTTCTCAACATACTCTAGGTCTTCGATAGACATCTTCTCGATTGGAACCGCGATCTTGATTCCGTTCATCTTATGGAGATGGATCTTCCCATCGTGAAGACCGAGGAACTGAGCCTCAACGGTGAATGTTCCGGTCCGGTCGACCCACCGTCTAGTCTTCGCCGGGTCGGGCTCTGGGAGAATCGTTAGTGACATGTGCTTATCCGAAAAGTAGATTGTGGTGGTCCTTACTTGTTCTGTTGTTCGCCGACCCCTTGTCGGATTTGCTCTCTTGCTTCTGACGCTGCGAACGAATGTTAATATCGTTCACTGCAAGGAGACTGCTCCGTCTCTGGGGGATCTTCTTTCCAGGGCCTACCTCCGAACGCGGCGACTCGACGGAATCAGTCCGGGACTTTCGTGCAGCTTCCTTGGCCAGCCGCTCTTCTTCCAGTCTGTTCTGCTCGACCGTGGACCGGCCCGCATTAATCCCAGTAGTGCTAGGAGGCGGTTCGACAATGCCGGTGATCTCGATGTAGCTGCTGGGCACAACTCCTTCCCGGCCGTTCTTTACCCGCCTTACCATCCACCATTCGTCGGATTTGCTGTCATCCAGGATAATGACCTCGTCTCCCACCGCCACCGTCACCTCATCATCGCCTTGCGCCATGAAGTCGTAGAGCACCTGTCCTCGCTTCTGAACATGGCCACCTCGGCCCGCCGCAATCACCTCCCGCAGCCCTTCTGCCTTGTATGCTCCTGCAATTTCACCCAGCGCAGACACGATCTCCTGTGCGGTATCCTTGGCGCCAGCGTGAAAATCGATACTCCGGCTCGGTCGAACAAGATCCAGGAAGACGTGCTTGCCTTCGATGGAATAGTGAGTGAGCTTGTCGGCCGTCCATTCCTGGTAGCCGCCGTCCTCGGGCGAGATGAAAATCGTCCCCGTCGCGACATTGATACCCAGGGTTGTCGGCATCTTCTTCCGCTTCCCCATGACCGATACCATCTCACTTATGTTATAGATGTGATACCCAGACTGGGATTGAGTCCCTCGATAGCCCACGCGGCTGTAGGGAGGAGATTCCTGGATGCCCCGCTCGTGTTCCCTAACCGCAGCAAATTGAGGACGAGGGGGCGGGGACGGTTCCGGAGGGGAGGGTTGGCGTCTTGGAGAGGAGATTTGCTGCGATGGGGGTCGCCGAGGCAAGGCAGGCGCAGGTCTCTCGTCTTCATCCTCGCGGTCATGCGTCGATTGACTGGCTGGCCGTGCTGGCTGCGCTGGCTGGGCTGGCTGCGGAGGCGGGGGAACCGGACGGGAGGAACCGTGAGAGGAGACGGAGCCATGCTGCTTGTGAAGGATACCAGCAATGGCGGCCGCTGGGCTCTGGGCTGCCGTGGCAGAACTCTGTTCCGCTGTCTCCGTTTCCTCTGCTTCGGTCTGCTGAGGGCGCTGTGGAAGAGCGGGAGCCGCTGGCTGCTCCGGAGCGGCCTGGGCAGCCGGTGCCGGTGCCGGCGCCGGTGCAGGCTCAGGTTCAGGCTCCGGAGCAGGTTCTTGTTTGTGCTCATGCTGAGTTGTCGCATTTTCTCCCAGAAGCTCGATGTAGTTTGCCGGAGCAAAACCGAAATCTGAGTTCACACCCACTAGCGTCCAGTCGGGGTCCGAAGTATCGTACACCACCAGTTCTGCATCTTCCGAGAAGGAAACCTCTTCATCCGTCTGTCGAGTGTAGTCATAGAGCGCTTTCGCTTTGTTGATCGGTCGAGCCTAATCCCATCGCCGGGGAGGGGGAGAGTCAGCCAGTTGTTCCAGATATTCCAGGCGACCACAGGTGTCCACAATCCGGCCGCAGGGGGTCCGTTTGCAATCGACGTTCGACAGAATCAGATGGAGGGACAGATGGACAATCGAGGTTTCATATGTTCGCTGGGCGCCAGGACCTAACTAAGACAGCAGCAAACGAGAGCCCCTTACCTCTTCGATGTAGTTATTTGGCACCAGGCCCACAGGCTCCTCGTCTTCTGGGTCAGCCTTTTTCTTGGCCTTCCACCAGTCGTCCTCGTTGCTCTTCTCCAGGATATAGAGGAGGTCGCCTTCGCGGATCTCCAGCTCGCCCTCCGCCTGCGGCTGGTAGTCGTAGACTGCGGTGTAGACGCCGAGGAAACCCATGGTGACTGGTCCCGGTGGCTGGGTCCAACCGCGTGTCACACTACCGGCGAGAGCTGATGCAGCGTCGAAGTTCCGTCAGGTGCCCGCAGGAAGATGGAAACGGCCGGGGTGGAGGAGAGACAGCACGAGGAGCAGAGGAACAGATCGATCGAGGGTTGCTGGGAGGCTTGGCGGGTGGCCAGGAGACCGAGAAGGCCGCAGTGGGATGGCGCCAAGGGCCGGCCCGCCCTGATTGGGGAACTGCCGGACTCAGCAACGAACGGCGAGTACGGCAGCAGTCAATGCCCGCGATAGTCAACGGTGCTTTTGGCCAGCAGACTGACGGCCAATTTGACGGTCCGTATACTGCGAGGCATTATTCTTTCTGCTTCACGCAGGTGGTCACGTTGGCTTCCATCACAGTTGGGCACGCAACTCGACCCACCAGGCGCGTGACGTCGTCGCCGGGCCGCCGGTCCTGCTGACTAAGCAGATACTACTTCCCCATGCTTCAAACGACAATTGATATGGCATGCTTCTATCTAATGAACCCAAAACTCCATATATACACGCTCATGACCAATAACATACTGTACAGGAGCACAAGAATATGATGCATATCGATGGATATCATAGCTCGTCCTTGAAGATCTCCTCACTGCCCTCCTCGTCCTCCGCCGCCTGCTCCTCCTGCACGGGGCCCCGCTTGTTCTCTGCCTTCTTCCCTCCTTTGCTCGCTTCCTGCCTTGGCGATCCTTCACTACTGTTCTCTTCCTCCTCGTCTGCGTCGACAATGCCCCGGAGTCCTCGCTCTCCGTTGGCTTCGACCACTTCCAGCTTCCAGTCCTTGCCGTTAGCCAGCTCTTCCAGCCGCTTCTTCAACGTCTCGACCTTCTCCGGGTCCAGGTCGAACTTCAGCAGTTCCTCCCGGGACAGGCGCGTCACCTCCCCGTTCTCCTTCTTCGCCACGACCTCGACAATCTCCTCGCCGGCAGATGCCACGCGACCCTTTTCGATCTGTCGGCCCTCTGTCCCCACCAGTTTCATCGCGCCAACCTCGATCCCTCCCACCGTAGGAAACTCTTTTTTCCCGGAATTCACCAGCCTCTGCGCAGCCTGATGGGCCCTCTTGGCCTCCCAGTCAGCCACGTTTTCGGGAGCAATGATCTCTCGACATTGGATCTCATGCACGTCCTCGGGCTGAGGCAGCTGGAAGGCGACGTCGTGGCACAGCCGCGGGGTGTAGATCACCATCAGGTATGAGCACGTAGTAAGCTCCTTAATCCACCCGATGCGATCCGTCGACTGTGGATGGCAGTGGAATTGGACTTCCACCTTGCGCTCCTTTCCCGTGAGATCGCACGTCGTTCCTCCACCGAGTCGCTGGACGAGGTATCTCGACTCGCCCTTGGTCTGCAGTTCTGCCACGTCGCCCTTCGAACGCCGCTCCCCATCCCCATCCCCATCGTCCTCATCGTCATCCCGCTGGAATTTGCCCAGGACGTACGAGTGGGTCGTAGGATCTTCGATCGGCGGGT